GGGGGTGGGGGTGGAGCGGCGGCCAGTTAAATACCGAGAGAAGAGCGCTGAGGAGAGTCGACGTAGGAGAGAGGGAAGCTGGGAGGAGCATGGGGCATGTTCAGTATTAGGGCTTAGGGAATTTTAGGTGTAGGGGGCAAGAGCTGCTTTCTAACTAGACATCATCAATTTGAGACCAGCACGATTTTAAGAAGCCAAGTTCAGGCGATCTGAGCCGCCCCTGGATTCGGGGCTGGGGCTCTGTCTGGAGGCTCTCAACTCAAGTTCCTTCCTAGCTCAATCCAAAATCCTGGGTAAATTCCTCAAACGCCCTACGCTTGAGAAAAGGAATTGGGATGTTGACTGTTTATATGCCAAGGGGATGAGAGACAGGACGGACAAGCCTCCGAGTAAAGGTGGAGATTGGAAGCTTTCCCCCCTCACTCCTCTTTAGTGAATCCTTGTTTCCCCTGGCCTTCTTCTGGATTATGGGTGTATGTAATCTCTTCATGCTTCTTTATTAATTTATTCAGGGAAATAAAGTGAGATACTTCTGTTTCCCATGCTCCTTGAAGCAGGTGCCCAAACCTAGACTTACTCCTTCAAGTGACAGCTAAACTGTAAAAATCAGAGTATATTATTACCACGTTTCTAAGATGTAGAGAGGACTTCTCTTGCCTTTTAAGTTCCAACCCCTCCCCCAGTCTTCAGTTTTTCTTTGTGCATGATGGGGATGTTCTTTCATTCCCAACAGAGTTCAGGGGATTTGAGCTATTCAGGAGATAATGTGGGGGCAAAAGTCAAAGAGGGGTGGACAGGGAATTGAGGTGGACTCTTGCCTGATCCCCCACTGTGGTAGGATGAATGTGGGGGTGGCACACAGCGAAGTAAACCCCAACACACGAGTGATGAATAGCCGGGGCATCTGGCTGGCATACATCATCTTGGTAGGCCTGCTGCATGTGGTGCTACTCAGCATCCCCTTCTTCAGCATTCCTGTTGTCTGGACTTTGACCAACGTCATCCATAACTTGGTGAGCACTAAACCACACCCTTGTACCCACCCCAGGCCTTTCCCAAACAAAAATCAAAATCCCCAGTTACTTGGGAATATATATCTTCCTTTTGGGATCTTAATTCTTGGGATAAAGGACTATATTCTGTCCCTTCAAACTCCTCCCTTCTCTCCTCCCAGGCTATGTATGTCTTCCTACATACAGTGAAAGGGACACCCTTTGAGACCCCTGACCAAGGAAAGGCTCGGCTACTGACACACTGGGAACAGATGGACTACGGGCTCCAATTTACCTCTTCCCGAAAATTCCTCAGCATCTCTCCTATTGTACTGTGAGTCTAGGGGGAGATATGGGAAATGCTCCAAAAGCCAGGTACAAAGGCCCGCAGGAGAGTTTTAAAAAGCAGTCTAATCACTTAGACCCTTTGAAAATATTATGGCATACTAGGTATAAAATCTAGGGAGTGCAGTAAAAAGTAGAAGGCAGTAATCAACCATTCTTTTCTGCCTCCTTGGTGGTAGGAGAATGGACTGAGAAAACCAAGTAAAACCAAATGATTTTATACTTCCAAAAGATGTGAATAAATCAAGGCAGAACTGATGTAAATCTGTGAAAACTGACTGGGGAGTGGAAGCAAAGAGGACTTACCAGTGATACAGGCTGAAACTGTTTCAGCTATCATTTGCCATGTCATTGACAATTAAAAACACACAAACTTACAAATCTCCAGTTAGAGGTGCTCATCATCTCCCTGACCCCTAGGATATTTTCAGATATCATAGGACTACATGCAATAGAACGGGTCATTTAAAATAGAAGAGAAAGTCACTGGAAAGGCCAGCTTCACTTAACCTATTTCTTTTCTCCCCAGCTACCTCCTAGCCAGCTTCTACACCAAGTATGATGCTGCTCACTTCCTCATCAACACAACCTCATTGCTCAGCGTACTGCTGCCTAAATTGCCCCAATTCCATGGGGTTCGTCTCTTTGGCATCAATAAATACTGAGGGATGGGACTAGGAACAGAATTGGAACAAAAGGCTGTAACATCTTTCCCTTCTCCATACTGTCGTTATCTTGAAAGCCTGAGAACTACACAACTGTTTCCAAACTTCCAAGATGAGAACAGATTGGAAAATGGGGCTCCCTGGGCCTAGCCCTGCTAGGAGCAGGCTTCTTTGAATCAGGAAAGGCAAATGAGGTAAGGGTCAAATCACTCTCCTCCACAGGCCATATTTGGTCAGCGTGTTTGGTTTTTCCATGTCTTCCACCCCCATTACCCTCAGTTCTGTTTTGCTGTGTATTTCCCTTAAAATAAAGGTAATTTTTTTCAGATATGGCTACTATTTGGTCAGCAGGGAGGGTAGGGAGATGTCCTCATAAGGCTGGGGAAGAAGATGGAAGAGTGACATAATGCACAAAACCTCTTTAAGATATTTTTTTATCCCCTTTCCCTTAGTTCAGTAGGAAGTGCCCTTCACTCTCAGCTAACACTTATAGAAAGGATTCTCAAATAAGAAAAAGGACACCAGCTATAAAGACAAAAAAGAGAGGGAAGAAACAGGTTGCCAGTTACATATTTATAGAAAGATAATCCCCTGGCTTTAAATAGTTATGTATATACAAATACGAACAACTTAAAAAAATACAAACCCTTGGATCATAAGGGGGCTGCCAGGAGCCCCTTTATCCTTCCCCTCTTCAAGGGAAGAGGGCATGAGTCTGATTTTTTAAAATCATTAGTTTTGGCCATCCCTGTACCAACAAGCATGAAGTTGGGCAGTTACCCACAAGGTGAAAGTCAGGAAAAATTCAGAGTTCCCACTCTCTGAACTCTATGTATCTCCTTTAATTAGGGCTACATGCTTTCTTGTTCTGTCTTAACTAGTACATTGGGTTAAAGGAGGGAGCTCCCTCCTAAAATGGGTCAAGAAATAAGATAGACTCGTAGTTTAAAAAGGGGGGGTCATCTGCTGTAGAAGCAGAAGACAACAAAGGCATACAGACCCCAGGGAAATACCGAGTTCCCACACTACTATGGGGAGATATTGTCCAGCCTAGGTCCATGCCCTAGGTGCTTTGCTCTAGCCACCCCCTATTTCTTTGGTATTGTCAGAAGACAAGATTCAGTTCCTGGGTGCTGGTGGAGGCGAGAGAGTGGTTCTGGGGCTTCCTTACAAGTACTGAGTGAACAATTTGAGCTTAAAAGTTTCCCTTTTCTAAATATTTAAAAATAAATCAAACTCCATCCTGTGCTGTACACAGCCCTTTTGACTCCCTGACATTGATTTGAGGAAAGAAGAAAACAAGTGTCAACGTTGGAAGGGCCTCCTCACTTTCTTCCGCCTCTTCGGTTTGGCTTCTCCCTTGGGTACTGTGCTGTTGGGCTTGGAAGCTGCAGTGGCCCCAGGGCCAGGATGAGGAGCTGCAAAGAAGTTCCCATTGGACATCTGTCCGGGGGGTACTTGAAAGATCCGGCTCAAGAAATCCTGAAGGTCAGCAGGAGGAGCATCTGGGGTGGCTCTGAGAGGAAATCAAGAATGAGGCGAGAGAGATTAAAAGTCAAATGGTTACCTATGTTGCCTCTTAATACCCAAGTTAAAGATATATTGAGTCAGTTACCAAACTTGTTAAAGGGTGAGACATCTAAGTGTCCTAAATACCATGTCATCTGTAACCATATTCAGAACTAGAATAATGGATAGATTATTGAAAGAAATACCACCGCCCAGCCGGGCATGGCTCAGCGGTTGAGCATCGACCTAGGATCCAGGAGATCACGGTTCGATTCCCGGTCAGGGAACATGCTTGGGTTGTGGGCTCAGTCCCCAGCCAGGAGCCTGCAGGAGGCAGCTAATCAATGACTCTCTCATCGTTTCTCTCTCTCTCCCTCTGTCTGAAATCAATAAAGATACATATATATTAAAAAAAAAAAAAAATACCACCTACCTCTGTCGCCCACTGGTTCCTGGGATCCGAGAACCAAATGAGATGTGATAGGGCACTCTGTGAGTATCTGGGGAGATTCCCACACGCTGGCATCCAGCCCACTCTGCACACATGAGAAATAATTAGCTAATACATCACAATAAGCCTGTATTTCTAGAGAACAGATGTGTACCTGTGATGTCATACACTTTTCCGTCCATCAGTGCAAAGAAGGTGATCTTGAGGCCCAACATACTTGACTCTGCCCAAAAGTCTCCTTCTTCAGCAGGATGCAGCCTATTACACTCAGCACAGTACCTGGCACTCTTAGGTTCCCGGTCCATTTCAAACCTCCTGCAAACCAACAGAAGGACAATTCCTCAATAATTTGTCAAGCCTGTGTCACTGCTGTAGTCTTATTACTGACAAATGTGGCTGAAGGACCTTAAATTATCTCCACTCAGTTGTTCTATATGCCTGTGCATACCCTTCTCTCAATCTTCTATCTTAAAGCTAAAAAATACCTTTTTTTTTCTTACTGATTCAAATCCCCAATCTTGACATATCAGAAGTGGAAACCTAAGGGTTCTTTTACTCACCATCTGTATCCCACAACTACCAATAATACAAAGAAGGTCTTTCGCTACCCAACCCCTAAGCTGTGGCTGTTCCATTCCTGTGTATCTCATACCTATGCTTTCCCTGGCATCGGCTGCACATCATAGTATTCATTGCCTCTTTGAGGTCATCCTGCAGCTTGGACAGAAACTCATTCACTGACCGGCTCAGCTCATTCTCTGCCATTCGTTTCCTAAAAGAAGAAAGGTTTTGTAAATCAGAGGGTATTGAGCAAGGGACAAAAGGAGACAGATCTATTGGCTTCTTAAGGCCTGTGGCCTACAAGCAACCTCAATTCTCTCCACCTCAGAGAGCCTCCACCTATAACTTCAGGGACCTCTGCTATTGAAGACTTTTCATTTACCCCACCTGACAATTTCCCATCTCCAACTTACATCTCATATTCCTTCCGCCTTTCAGGATTGCTGACAATGTCCCAAGCTGCCCGCAAAACCTTGAAGGCCTCCTCAGCCCGGGGATGATGATTTTTGTCAGGATGAACCTACCAAGACAAAGATTTCATCACATCCATTCCAACCCTCTCCCCATCTTGGGTCAAAACCTCATGTTAAGTGGTAGCCCTGGCCAGTGTGGCTCAGTTGGTTGGGCGTCTTCACATGCACCAAAAGGTTGCTGGTTTGATTCCAAGTCAAGGGCACGTGCCCAGGTTGTGGAATCAATCCCCAGTAGGGAACATGCAGGAGGCAGCCTATTGATGTTAGCTCACATTGATGTTTCTTCCTTTCTCTCCCCATCTCCCTTTTGCTCTAAAAAAAAATCAATAAACTATTTAAAAAAAAAAATCACGTCAAACGGTTCTCTTTCACTATCCTTTTGGAGAGTCAACATAGCTTAATAATTAATTGCTCTGGCTTTGTAGAGAGATCTTGGTTCAAGTTCCAGCTCTGTCACTATTAGCTATATGACCTAGAATATTTTATCTATCATGGATTGTTGGGAATATTAAATGAGAATACATGTGAAGTATATAGCACAGAATCTGTACTAGGGTGATCCACCACCCCAGTGCATGTGGGATTGTCCCAGTTTTGGCACTGAAGTTCATGTCTCAGGAAACCCCTCAATCTCAGGCAAACAGGGATGGTTTGTCACTTAACCTAGCATGCATACTAAGCCTTCACATTTTAACTTTATTGTCAGTTATAAAGTAAGAGTTTCAGATATGTTACATCCTCAAACACTTTCCTAACTTTAAATTCTCGTATTTACTTAAAACTTCAAATAGTTTGCCCTTCTGTCCCAGAAATGAAATAGCATGATATTCACAGGCTTTTTATCCACTTTTCAGCCTTTTCTCCAAGACAGACAATACCCTCTCTTCCTACAGCTTCCTTATTGTTCCCATCTTCATTCCCCCAAACCACAGAGATAAAGCTAATCTCTTGACTGATGCTAAATAAGCAGAATGCTGTTAAATCTCCCATATTCCCAAGCTTATAGAACAGCTTTGTAGTCATGGTCACTCTGGGGCCTAATAAGGGTGGTAAGAGGTTCTATAAAAAGCCCACAGGCACTCTGACCCAGAACAAGGGAGAACTCAGAGATGTGGGTCAGGTGTGTTGAGGATCAGGGAACTTATCATCTCTACTCCAAGGAAGTTGAAAATGAGATTTTTTTTTTTGAAGAATGGTATTCCCCAAGAGAGGGTATCTGCTAAAAGACATGAAGGTGAGAAAAGTGTTTTATTAGTAACAATACGAGTGTAAGCAGTTGTTCACCATTCTAAGTATATCCCAGGCTATCCACTAAAGGGCATCCACTTCCCACCAAACAAATTTAGTCCTGTGATAAGTACAGGTCTGGTACGTTATTGTGCCTTGAATAGTTAATGGAAACCATGGTTGCCCATTCCTCTGGTGTCATGCAACTATCAAGGTAATCTACACACTGGTATTTTACCAGTCCAGTTCCATACATTCAAACAGGTTGCCTGTGCAATTTACACACATTATATTCATAATATAATTCTACTTGTACAGGAATAGCAACAATCATATCCAAAAATAGCAACCTAATATCAACCTAATAGCAATTTGATTGCACGCTTGTATTAAATCATTTCTCTCAAGCATGTGGTGCATCACAGCTTCCACCTGTAAATCCCCTTTTATCAACAAAAGCAACCATATTTTCAGGTATGACATACATTTGCACATGTATCTCTAAGATTTATATCCCATTTTCCTTCCCTTTCCCACTCTGGGTTGCTGGTCTTGAAACAGCTTGTTTTCTTTCACCGGGTCCTGGAATAATCACTCACATGCACTCCCTGAACCATCCCATACTAGGTCCACACTTGCCTTTCTGGGACAGATTGTTGGATTTCCCTGTATTCAAAAAAGAGCCAGCGCAGCTCAGTGGTTGAGCCTCGACCTATGATCCTGGAGATCAAGGTTCTATTCCCAGTCAGGGCATATGCCCTGGCTGCAGGTTCAATGGCGTGCAGGACGCAGCCAATCAGTGACTCTCACACACTGATATTTCTCTCTCTCTCTCCCCCTTTCTCTCTATGAAATCAATAAATAACATTAAAAACAAACAAACCAAAAAAACAACAACCACCACCACCAAAAACCCTCATTTGTTCTGGGAGAGGAACTGACAAGCTTTCTGACTAGGCCTCTTCTCCACCCTAGCCAGAGGGACTTCATCTCAATGTTTCAGGGTGAGTGAGTCCAACAACAGGTCATTTCTTTTGTTAAGTGCCAGAAGCCCTTCCATCCTTGCTGCTTGACACGGTCCTTTAAGGAGGAGACATCTGCACAGCAAATGCTCCATGGGACTTGGTGTATGGCATATCCCTCTTCCTATGCTTGTTCCCCTTTCTAACGCTCTGTGTCCCTTACCCGAGTCACTGCACCAGAAAAGGGCATTGCCCTAACTGGAAACTTTTCCCTGCACCAGAAAAGGGCATTGCTCCAGCTGGAAACTTTTCCCTAGCAGGGGGATTGGATGGGACTAGAAAAGACAATGATTCAATAAAAGCCCCAAGCATTGCAAAAATATCATGTGCTGCTTACAGGAATTCAGACTCAAGACTGTCAGCAGAAGAGTTAGGACTTGTTAGGCCCACTACCCCGGGGGCCTTCCCACCAGGGAAGAGGCCTGGGTTGGGGCCCTGCTGACTCGGCTGCCCAGGGCAATCCACAGGGAGTCCACCAGTGAGTTCCCACTAAGGAATGTATTACTGGGGGATGTTTATATTAATGGACAACTCTGGGAATCCCCACAAGGAAAGAGCAGACTAGGAAAGAGAGTATTTCAATCTACACCTGAACCCTTATCATACACAGGATGTTACAATGAGGATGGACACCGCATAGTTAATTACAAAGGCAAACATACACAGGTACAAAACATCCCAAGCTTCTTAGAAAGGCTAGGGAGAACAGGACCCCCTTGGTGCCTGTTAGATGAGAAGGTGAAAAAGGCTTTGCGCAAACAACTTAGAAAATGCCATTGTAAATTATGCAGGCAGTTCCCTTATCTGACGGACTGCCGCAGGGAGTGTCAGCGGAGAGACTACGAATAGGCGCCAGACGGTAGTTACTTCCCTTTTAGCTTTATGGTAGAACAATAAAGTAGTAACCTTAGAATAGAAATAACAAACGAGATTAATCTGTAGAATAGCCTATAGAAATATAAATAATAGACAAGACTAAAATCAACATAGTTAAACAGAAATAAATTCTTTAGCAAAAGTCAGATAGAAGGTATAAACATTAACTGTGAAGGGTTAAGACAGAAACCAGAGCAAAGCATGATGTCATGTTGTTTAACCAGCAATAAAATCAAGTAGTATAAAGAGAGTTGTAACAAGGCAACAGAGAAGCTGACTGTCCTGACGCTCTGAACGCTGTCTCCGTGTCCTTCATTCTTTGCTGATGCCGTCCACACCTTTGGGGACCCCTGGACCGCTGGGGCTGGACCCCGGCAGTTAAGAAAAAGAATCTCATGACCAAAAAAAAACACCCTTAAAAATGAAGGAAAAGTCAGAATCCATAGTAGAGGTGGCAAAAGTCTTTATGACTTTTTTCTAAGAATTAAAGTTACTCTTCCACTTAAAGTTGACTTTCTTCTCTGCCTTCCCTTTTTTCTGCTCTAAAATTAGAAAAAAAATACAGGAACAAAGAGGGACAGGAAACGGGGGAAGGATACTCACCATCACTGCCAACTGCCTATAGGCCTTCTTCAGTTCAACATCTGATGCTGTGGCTTCAACCCCCAACACATGGAAAGGATTTAGCTCATCTTCAGGAACCCCAGCCATAGTCAAGAGTCGAGTCACTTCCTCTTCAGGCAGGCAGTAGCGACTACTAGCTACAGGTGCATTCCCCTGCCTGTTAGTCCTCTGTTTGACCCAAGGCAACTCCAGCCAATCCCACTGAACCATTCTTACCAGCTGCTGCCACGGCCTGCTATCTCTCAGCAAAATCAGACAACGCTGCAAGGTGGGAGAATCCAGCCAAGAGAAGAGCCAGATAGCTTTACCCCTCCAGCCTAACCGATCGCCTAGTCTCACAAGAAACCTCCAGCCCAACTGCAGACAGCCCAACAAGAGGGCCAGAGCCAGGAGCAGCAAAGCACCCAGTAGCCTAAGAACACGGGTGAACAGCCCTGACCCATAGCAAAATCCCTGGTTCAGAAATTGAAACATCACCTGGGCCCAGACACCCAGCCGCCCTGCCCAGGCTCCCGCCCAGACTCGAACAAGGTCCAAATCACTGCCTTTCAGCTTCCTGCATGCATAGATGAGATGGCCACAAGTTTCCACATATTCTCCCACCAATACCAGCAGTTCGATCAACCACCAAAAGCCTGCTTGTCCAAGCTGACACAGTTCTTCTGCTCCCCATAATCCCAGGCCTCTGTGCTTATTTGCTTGACTTCGTTTCCGGCCCAGCCGATGTCGACCAGGGGACCTGGGATCTCTGCGTCCACCCTTCCAAGTATCCTCCTTGGCAGGAACACGGTGCCGCTGTCTCCGAGATAGAGGTTTCTTTCCACTGGACATACGGGAAAAATCACTGGGGAACTTGGGTTCCTCATCATCATATTCCTCTTCCAACTCTTCATGTTCCCCTAAAGCTGGAGAGGTACAATGGTGGCAAAAGTTGCTAGAAGAGCTATCTCCTCCCCCAGAGTAAGGCCCTTCTGGGATTCCAGGGGTTCCCTGGCAGTTGCAAGCAGATGGAATGGAAAGAAAAGGGTTCCCATCCTCCTGGTGCCCAGCCTCATTCTCTCTTGAGAGTTCCTGGTCCACTCCTGACTCTTTTTCTGCCTCACTCTGGTCAGAGTCCTCTCTATCTCTAGGGGGTCCTGGGCCCCTTGGGGGGCCATGGCTTGGATCCGACCAGTGGGCTGGGTTTGGGGGCTGTGTGTACTTAGGACTAGAGTGCTTTGTGAGGCAGCCGGTACCATTAGGAGAAGGCCTCGCTGAATCCCTGAGTCCTGAGAATGAAAGTATTTCAGGGTCCACAGAGCGTCCTAAAGTCCCGAGGGAGGCACCACCACTGTGGTGGCCTCCACACAACCCACTTTCTCCGGGGTGCTTCTGGGCCATGACCCCGGGGCTTCCTGAAGATTTTAGGTCACAGCCATCATGGTAAGTTCTGATGCCTGTAACAAAGGTATCAAGGTGGGGATAATCAAGGATAGGACCAAGAAAGGAGTTAAATAACCTTAAATTGAGGATATATATAATGCATCCACCTCCCTTGGCTTTTCAAGTTCTTTTGGGGAATTCATTACCCCTAGCAATAAGCCAATACTACATGAACCACAACACTGCTCCCTACCCCCTCCTCCAACTCCACTTAAGCTTTTCTTCTTTCCCCTGAAAGATACAGTTCTGAATCCCGGAAAGAGGTAGGTACCCCAAAGGGTGTGGTCTTAGGGTCACTCTGGGGAAAAAAGGAAAAACAATCGGAAAGGAGGGCCGTAGGATTCCTGAAAAGGGTGGGTTAGAAATGGAGCTGCCTTTTGACCCAGTGATTCCACTCCTAGGAATGTATCCTAAGAATCCTGAAACATTAATCAGAAAGAATATATGTACCCCGATGTTCATAGCAGCAGTTTACAATAGCTAAGATCTGGAAACAGCCCAAGTGCCCATCAGTAGATGAGTGGATAAAAAAGCTGTGGGACACTTACACCATGGAATACTACACAGCTGTAAAGAAGAATAATCTTGTACCCTTTGGGACACTATGGAAGGACCTGGAGAATATTATGCTAAGTGAAATAAGCCAGGCAGAGAAAGACAAACATCACATGATCTCGCTTATAGGTGGAATCTAAAGAACTTAATAAACTGATGAACAGAATAGATTCAATGACATGGAAGCATAGATGAGACTGACCAATGTCAGAGGGAGTGAGGAGGGCGGGTGGGTGGAGGGGGAGAGAGTAACCAAAGAATTTATATGCATATATGCACAACCCAAGGACACAGACAATGGTAGGGAGAGGGGCTGGGGAGGGGGAAGGGACGGGGTGGAACGGGTCATTGGGGAGAAAAAGGGACATCTGTAATATTTTAAACAAAAATAAAATTTTAGAAAAAGGGTGGGGACCCTGCGGCCCTCAAAGAAAACCTGGGGGCGGAGCTTGGGGTTGCCCCTAAAACAATCTAGGGGACCCTAAGACTGGGTAGACCGAGAGAAGGTAACGTACCAAAGAGCGACGGTAACTCCTCCCCCTCGAGCTGCAGGACCCAGAGCTAGGGGAGCTAAGGGAGGAGCTCCCCCGGCTCCGCCTCCCGCTCAAGCTCTGCTTCCGCCTTCCGTCTTAGACACAGGCGCCGTTCTACGCCTATTTCCACTTCCGGGGTCACCGCGCAAGAGACAGGAAGGGAAAGAAAAAGCGGTTGCTGGAGGCGCGAGCGGGTCTAGCAAGCGCCGTCAATCAGAGGAGGCGGTCCTCGGGAAGCAATGGCACCTCCCCTTAAAGGGCCCTCGCTTGGCCCTCCGCGTGCTCGACTTCAGAGTGGAATCCCCGCAAGTTGCACCCCTGAAGCGAAGCAAGGGGGTGCTGCACCAGTGCCTGCGGTCTGGGGGCAGAGTCTCAGGGTTCCTCTTGCTGGATTCTTGGGCTTTGCCGAAACTGGGAGATAGAGGACAGCCACCAAGCCACAGTCTGTTTCCCTTGCAGACAAAACTAGGGAGCGTAGAAGGGCCACCGCCCTGATCCCTTTCCCTACTGGCTGTAACGAAGACAGAGGCCCTTTTGTATCACGTCCTCTCATAGAATCGAGGAGAGGGCGCCCCGGGCCAGCCCCCGCCCAGGTTCCCCTAGCGCTGCCCCTGCTTTCCCAGCAACCCTCGGCCTCCCCGGCTTCTGACCCATCTGGCGAACTGCCCCGTGTAACTGCAGCTCCCACGGCCTGGATCCGCCCCTCTGGACGCAACTCCCAGGCCCCGACACGGACCGGGGCCCAGGGACTGACAGCGTAGCTCCGCTGGGCTCAGGACCTGAGCGAAGTGCCAAAAAACACTGCACTCATCTGCATGCTGCTTTACATCTCATTTGCATCCCGAGCTGTTCGGTCAACGTCGACAAGCGACCCCTCCCCCACGCAGACCCTGCTCGGGTCCCCGCTCTGTCGGTCCCCTCCTCTGCACACGCCTCTCTCGTTAGTCCCTCTTCCAGACTCCGTCTTACTTCGCAAGTTTGTCCACCCACGAACCCCTCGCCGGCGCCCCCGGCAGCAAAAGCCCCTTCCCCGAATCCCCAATCCGGACCACCAGGTTCTCCAGAAGACAATACTCCAATTCTCTGGGAAGTGGAAGAAACCAAGCCAAAGCTAGGGGGGCGCTGAGACCCCAGTTGGGGCTTTGATAGCTTCCAGTTGTCGAATCATCGCCTAAGTATTCAGAGACCTTTCTCCAAACCTCCTGTGCACCCAGGACCCTTCCCTGCTATGGTTGGCGGGGGGGTCTCCGGTCCCAGCCTCCAGCAGTAGGCAAACTGGGTCCCCCACACACAAGGGAAAGAGTTGGAGGGGCCCGCCCCGTGATG